AAAAAAATTTCAATTGTCATTCATATGCTATATAATATTAGGACGCCGATTCATGCACATCAGGTTCCTCACCCATTGTCGCACACTAAATAAAAAATTAATATTTTACGGTTTTGGAATTAGACAGGAATAGCTTAAACTTGTTGCCATCCATACTATATTGGTTTACTCGTGTTTCGAACATATTTCTCGATATAATAGACTTTCTCCTCGCCAGGGAGGGCACCCACTTACTCATTTTGCCATGTCATAATGAAATTCCATATTATGCGACTCTACAACCAGTAAGAGGAAGATGTCGGTGACTACTTTTTATTTCTTCTGAAGACCCACCTCGTCTGTATCCTCTCACCATTCTAATTCATTTTGATGCCATATTTTTTTTTCTCCGCCCCCTTTGCATTCTGGGGTTTTATGCTCTCCAACCATTAAAGCTCACCTAAGCTAAAGGGTTTAATCATGTGCAACTTTAATCTAGCAGCAGATCTGGTTACTAATTGTCAATCTTTTTCATCTCTTTCTCTGAACTCTACTCTTTCTGGCTTAATCTCTTACTTACCTTTCTCCCCTTTTGTGATTCTAGTGTGGGCAATTGATCCAATCAGTAGTTTGTGAGGGAGGTACAGGTGAGAATGAAAATGAAGAAAATGGGAACAAAGGAAGTAATACAGATAAAAGAATAAAATGGGAAAAAAGAAGACATCTAATTCTCTAGTTACAATTCTCCCCTCCAATAAACCAACCAAGCAATAAAATCAAGTTAAAATGGAAATCTACAAAAATTCCCATGAAAAAAGATAACAAGAAGTAAAAAAATTTAAATTTAAACAAAAAAAGATCTCATTTTCTCTTCATTTTCTTGGAATTTCGAAGCAACGAATAACTTATTAAAATCAAAACAATGATCGAAAGGATGAATTTGTTGTTGAGTTGAAGTTGGGTCAATAGATTTGAGAACAGATTTAGGAACCCATATGGGTTCCCCGTTGTGTAGCCTTGCCAAACCTAGATCTAGAACATTAGACTTTCCATGGTTCAATCGGATGAGGAAAAAGGCATGAATGGAGAAGAGGCTTAGGAACAGACAGAATGAGAGAGGCAAGGGTGAGAGGATGCCAAAATCTGTTGAAACCTAGATTAAGAATAGAGATGGGTAGTGGATTTTATGGAAGGGAAAACAACTAGACTGGAGAGGAAAGGCTTGAGCCAATGAGGGAGATCGAGGGGCAAGAAGAGAACCAACATCGGAGAAGGAAGAGATTGCCGGCAATGGAGAACGGAGAGAGGAGAGAGAAGGGGAAGAAAGGAGAAGAAAGGAAGAAGGTGAGGAACCACAGAAAGGAGAAATAAAATATCCCAAATAAGCTAGGGATAGCTTATAACATTATAGAAATCTATTTAAATTATATTATATTTATTGAACCAAATGGGTGTAGGTAAGGGTGTTGGTCGGCAGGGTAAACATACCATTGTCCATAATATTATCACCTAAAGTTATGTGCAGAGGTAGTTGAAAGTTAGTTATATGGGTAGAAAAATAGGACGAGGGGGAGTAACATTTAGGATATGT